GTTAATCACGCTTCGTAAAACCGGCCCCTGATGATGTCACACATAATGCAGGACACATAACCATAATACTATAATTTCATGAAAAAATACAATTTTAATGATTCAATTGATAAAAACTTACCATACACCCACATTTTACATTCATATTTAATATGACGTCAATTAAAAGTTAATAGATGTTCATGGTGCGCTAATGTTAATTTAATTTGTTTTACGTCAGCCGGCATCGCTTCGTTATCATGAATGTAGGATTGCTGGATTTTATTTTAAATTGACTACGTCACAAATTTTCTATGGTGTATATTTGTAAAAAAAAAGTACATTAAAAGTAAGTAATAACGGGACTAAATGTATCGTCAAATTCTTACCTGATAAGATTGTTTCTCAACTAGTTAAAAATCCATAAAAACCTGGACGATTTTATATTATGATCCAGACATTAATTGCTTGCTATGGGCTATGTATGAGTCACGAGTATATGTTTACATCGAACTATATAGTAAAATAGGAAGTATAATGCAGCAATTTAACTATAAAAAGTGAACAGAATTACTTACATTTTGTGAAAAAGTGGAAATAGTGTTTTTACTTTTACTATTTACGGTGACGTAATCACTTTAATATCAAGCTACGAGTGTCAAGTATCTGCTCTCAATTTTTAAACGCTTAATTTCAACAAAATACGATTTAATTTAAAAGGTAACTGAACGTGCTGTGTTGGTCGCTCGCTGATTTTATACGGTCTTTTTTTTTGAAATAAAGTTTAAAGATTTAAAAAGTTGAAATGTTAAATTTCAACAAAATGTTTTCATATAGGGGCCTAGCAGATACTGAATGTGTGCAAACAATGGATGTAATAATGCCCGCTACGCTACGGGGAAATATGGGCGTGAAGTTATTTCCTAGTCCCTAGTTCCTTATTTTCAAAAATAAGGAAGTGGACTCTTACATTACATTCAAACTCTCCACAAGCTAGAGACTAGCATGTGCACCATTTATATTACTGCGTAAAATGTGTGTTTTTCTTGAAAATCTGCCGCCTACGGTGTTGTTACACCGGTGATCCGTACTGTCGCACACATAGCGGAAATACGACAGCAACGTGTGGCGGGCAACGACCCTAGATAATGACCCCGTGATATATATTGTCATCGGGGGACGTGGCCGTCGGCAGACGATGCGACTCTACCCGCAGGTACACCGGTCTCATCTAGTCTGGTTCTGGTCTTGTCACATCTAGTCTGGTTCTGGTCTTGTCACATCTAGTCTGGTTCTGGTCTTGTCACATCTAGTCTGGTTCTGGTCTTGTCACATCTAGTCTGGTTCTGGTCAATAGAGCCGACGTCGTTAGTCAAGCGCTGTCACTGGTGTTGAACGACCGGCTTGACTGCTAGAGATCACTGGTGTTGAACGACCGGCTTGACTGCTAGAGAGAGAACATGAGGCGTTTGCTCTCGCAGTTCCGCGATGAGCGAGAAGAGCAAGGATCAACTGTGTAGAGGCAGTGTGAGCGATTCCTACGTACATGTGACTATCATTACTATACTTACTAT